GGCTACTTTGAAAACGACATTTCTTTTTCTTTCTAGATATACAAATGCCAGCCTCCATTTTTTGGCAAACATTTCATTGGTTCCTGATCTGAGTTTGGGTTGATGAGAGGTAGGATATTTATCATGTACAGCTGGTAATGTAGGTCAGCTAGCATGTTTGGGCCACACCCGGTGGGGTATAACTCTCTGGATTTCAGAATACAGTTTGGAGAAGCAATACACTACTCTGAGGAAGAGAAGCAATATGCTGTAATGTTATGCTCTAACAGTGATGCTCTTTGCTATGGTGGAATAGCTATTTACTCAAGGTTTATATTTTGCTCTCTTATTTGAATGAAGATGAAGAAGCCTTATTTTGTGTTATTTCCAAGGACTATGTAGGTTTGTTGCCCTGTTTGATTTTGCATGCAACACTGCAAACTTATGCCTTTGCTGATAAGAGTAAAGTTTTTTCTGTTCCTTTTTCCTCTTGCCTGTGTGTCTTTTGCATGGGACTTGGCTAAAATTCGCTTCTGCACAACACAAGCTTCAGTCAGCTTATCCAATGGTCAGGGATTCTGGCAGCTGAAGTCCAAAACACCTGGAAGGCCACAGGTTGTAGAGCCTGATACCAATAGAAGTAATACATAATTCTGGGGGGGGGGGGGGGGGGAGCTGCCAGTTTCTCTTTGGACTGTTCATTTTAATGACAATGGACTACAACTCTAATCAGTCCCAGCCAACATGATAAATGCTCTGGAATTATAGGAATTTTAGCCTAAATATCCTAAAGGCACCAGAACCCATCAGATCTTGGGATCTAAGCAGAGTTAGTCCTGATTAGTACTTGCATGGGAGACTGCCAATGAATACCATGTGCTGTAGGTATCATTTCAGAAAAGGAAATTGGCAAAACTACCTGTGGTTTTCTTAGGCAAGGTATATTCAGTATAATGTATACATATATAGAAGTCAAAATCTGTCTGTACTACAAAAACTGCTGCTGGTGACGTGGCCCTTTGTAATGTCACTGAGAAAGAAAGGGGACATGTGTGTGAGAGGAAGGAAGGAAGGAAGGAAGGAAGGAAGGAAGGAAGGAAGGAAGGAAGGAAGGAAGGAAGGAAGAAGGAAGGAGGTAAAGAAGGAGAGAAGGAAAAGGAGACACTGGGATGGAGGGAGGGAAGAGAAAAAGGAGGGAAAGAAAAGAAAGGAGAGAAGATGGGATGAAGAAAGAAAAATGAAAGAAGGAAGGAAGAGAAAGGAAAGAAGATCTGAGAAAAGGGAAAGAGAAGGAAGAGAAAACAGGGGGGAAATGTCCCCCTGGGCAACACTAAATATATAAGTTAGGTTTAAAATAAAATGTACTCTGCCTTTGTTTGTGTGCATTGGAGGAGTAACAATTCATACAAGCCAGTAAGACTCACATTTTTACCTACACACTTAATCTGTGTTAAGCAGAATAAACTGGATAAGAACTTTTGGCTTTTCACTGAAATCTTTAAGTGTGTGTGTGTGGGGGGGGGGGAATGAAGGGTGGAAGGGAAACAGAGCAAACGGATGTGGCTTCCAGAAGCTGATAGAGGATGAGGAATGATGGGGAGTAAAGCCGAGGTCTTCACTTCACCCACTCAATTTTTGCTGAAAAGCCGAAATCCCAGGACAAGACAGCAGCCAACTCTGGAAAAGTTGCCCAGATCTGATAAAAGAAACTCTTCCTCGGGAATATTTCCGCTCCAAGTCGTAGGCTTGGAGGAAAGCAAGTCACTGGAGGTTTTCTGTTACCACAGCTGCTCTGCCTCAGAAATTATCAAACGGCCGTGGCATGGGGTTTGTTTATCGCTCTAGGGCCAAACAACCGTCCAACGGCACTTCCATCTCTATGCAGCTGCAGTTGCTGGCTTTTCTCCGGAGCCCATTAGAAGAGCCTGACTCCAAGACAGGCGCCTGTTAACAGAAGTCCCTAATGGTGCCGAGGATGGGAAAGTTATTGCCAAGATGAAGTCGAGGATTTTGGCCAGGAGAGTGTTCTCCCTCTGAAGTCTCCACACAGATGCAAGATAGATTATGACATCTTTCCTATACTATCTATTAACAATAATTTAAAAGCAAGCTATGGAAATATTTATCAGATTCAATTGGTACAAACTCAAATTTTATCTAGAAATTGTTTTCCCTTTCCTACAATTTTAACTACAGTAGAGTCTCGCTTATCCAGCCTTCGCTCATCCAACATTCTGTTTTGTCCAACGTAGTCTGCCTGTCTCCTGGATTCACAGCTATTTCAATACATTGTAATGTTTTGGTGCTAAATTCGTAAATGCAGAACGTTACTGTGTATTGAATTGCTTTTTCTGTCGATTTCTTGTAAAACATGATGTTTTGGTGCTTAATTTGTAAAATCATAACATAATTTGACGATTAACAGGCTTTTCCTCAATCCCTCCTTATTATCCAACATTTTCACTTATCTAACATTCTGCCGGCCTGTTTAAGTTGGATAAGTGAGACTCTACTGTACCAAACTATCACCATTTTTGCATGAAAGATGGTACAACAATACAATAAAAAAACTGATTTCCCCTCATATACAAGGGGTGTTGATTAAAGATTTCCCCTGACCCACTTCTATTTATCACATGATTCTGAAACTGTACACATGTAATGATATAAGTCTCTATAGATTATGTGCTAATTTACAACTCAGAACTGATAACGGTCTTGATTTTATAGGTGCTGAAGTGGTGTGAGGTTTGATAATGGACACAGTGGAATACAGAGCATACTTTTACTATACCACTCAGTGTGTTATTGTAAAAGTATCCAGGTTCTGAATGTGAGTTGAAAAAATATGCACAAATTAGCATGATTACAAGAGGGTTTGTTTTTTCTGGCAACGGTTCAAGTATTTTTGTGGTTTCACATTCAAATACTATTCCAGCTTGCAACTGCTTGAGCTAATACTAAATGGACTGTCATAGACGCGCATACATATACCCTGGGGATCAAACGTTCCATTAGGAGTCTGTCCATAAAAGTCAATTAATCCTATTAATGCGAGAGATTAATTTCCGTTAATAAGTATGTGACATAATAGCCTCGCTAAGTGCACAGAACAGAACCTGATGTTAAATATGTCACTATGAGTATATAACCAAAACCTTTGCATTCTGACTATTAAATTCAATAGGATTGATGCCGAATAATAATAATAATAATAACAACAACTTTATTTTTGTACCCTGCCTCCATCTCCCCAAAGGGGCTTGGGGCATCTTACATATTACACAAGTACCTAAAACAACACATACAATAAACAAGCAGTACAATTCAAAAAAGTTAAAATAATAGCATATAAAAACAACAATCTATGTGTAGGATTGCAGTCACAGAAACAAAACCTAGTCACAACTACTCATAAGGTCCCATCTGTTTTTCCTAAATTTCCCCTTAATTAGATTACTATCTCTTAGATGACAACTTCAAACCTTTTGCTCTCTCCTTTGAAACGAATGGGTACCTAGTTTTTACTTCATTGGTTCTTCCAAATTGTATATCTTTGTAAAAGTTGAAAATAATTGAAGAAAGGTATAAGAGAAGCAGGATATCATTCCACACCCCGTTCTGTGGAGCAAATTTTAAGTGGAAAATGGACTGCAAATGCAATTTTGCACACGACTGCTCCTTTTGTGTGTGTCAATTTTTTGTGGAGAAAATTTTTAAACAGAAGATGGACTAGCAAATGTAATATTGCACATGACTGCTTCTTTTGTGTGTGTAATTGCCAGGTTCACAGTTGCAGGTCTTGTGAGCTAAAAGGTATAAGTATCTGGATTATCTGATTTTTTTTTGTGTTACCTTGCAGCCTTGTATTCAGAATATGGAAGAGGGTAGCAGTATCCTCTGCTTCGTATTCACTAGGCTGAGCTGCACAATTGTACTTGTGTTTGAAAAAGAAACAGAAATAGCTTTATCTGGTGGTCAGCTCCTTTCCTGTGTGTGGTATGAGCTTCAGGTGTCCTCAAAAACCAAGATATAGTAGGTCTCTGTGATTTGCGTCAAAGAGCTGCACCAATTAGTTAACTACTCTTTAGGCTGGGTAGAGCTTAAAAGACTTACTTCTACATACTACAACTACCTAGCCACAGGCCCTCTCGCTTTAACGTAATGAGAAACTGCATCAGAAGAACATTGCTTCAGAAATCAGCAACTCATTGACCTTCTTTCCATCTTCACTAATGGTGAAGGATGCTGGGAATCTCTGGGGGCTGCACAGTCTTAAATCCTTGGTTAATAGCCGGGGCTGGTTTGGTTCTTGAGAACCATATTGGACCTGTGATGGTAGGTGAGGTAGAAAGTCATTAGAGCAATATATTTTGCTGGAGGTTTCACTCCACATATGAAAGATATTGTCCAAGGTGCTGAATCTATTTGGAGAGCATAGGATTGATAGGTCCTATGCCCTCCAAATAGATTGATCCTTTACAGCAGTGGTTCCCAACCTTTGGTCCTCCAAGTGTTTTGGACTTCAGCTCCCACAATTCTTAATGGCTGGTCAACTGGCTGGGATTTCTGGGTGTTGAATGCCAAAACACCTGGAGGACTAAAGGTTGGGAACTACTTCTTTACAGGGTGCATCTACACTGTAGAATTGATTTAGTTTGATTGTACTTCAACTGCCATGGCTCAGTGCTATAAAATCATGGGATCTGTGCTATGATGAAGCACCAGCACAATTTGGCAGAGAATGCTAAGGGTACTCCCGTGATTCCATAGTATTGAGCCATGGCAGTTGAAGTGGTTCAAACTACATTAATTCTACAATGTAGATGTGCCCACACTCTGAGTTAAAACTAGAAGTGGATTCATTGTCCCACTGACACATAAGCCATCAAGCACCACTAGATTTGAGAGAGGTGCATGCTGAACGTGGGCAGGAAATGCTATGCCATCTAGCATCATCTTCTTTCCCTCCTCTTAAGGTTGAAGTTTTATTTCTTCCTGTTTCTTTCTTCCTCTCCTAGGAAATCAACCATTGGAAAAGATGACCACGTGCTACTACAATGAGTCGATTGAGTTCTTCTACAACAACAGTGGCAAAAAACTGTCCCACATATGGAGGCCCAAGGATATTTTGGTGGTCGCTCTTGGCTTGACCGTCAGCATCATTGTGCTCCTCACCAACTTGCTGGTCATCACGGCTATTGTCATCAACAAGCGCTTCCATTATCCCATCTACTACCTGCTAGGGAACTTGGCAGCCGCTGACCTCTTTGCAGGCATCGCTTACATGTTCCTGATGTTCCACACAGGGCCCAGGACAGCTCAGCTCTCTTTGAAGACCTGGTTTGTCAGGCAATGCCTTTTGGACACCAGCTTGACGGCCTCAGTAGTCAATCTTCTGGCCATTGCCGTGGAGCGGCACCAGACAATTTTCACTATGCAGCTCCACAGCAAGATGTCCAACCAGCGGGTGATGATCCTCATCGGCTGTATCTGGATCACAGCCTTGCTGTTGGGCCTCATCCCTTCATATGGCTGGCACTGTCTGTGCAACCTGAGCGATTGCTCCCGGATGGCTCCCCTCTACAGCCGCAGATATTTGACCTTCTGGGCCCTCTCCAATCTCTTCATCTTCCTCATCATGGTGGTAGTCTACACTCACATCTTCATCTATGTGAAGAGGAAAATGGCCCGGATGTCCAAGCACACCACTTTCCATCCTCGCTATAAGGACACCATGATCAACCTTATCAAGACAGTCATCATTATCCTCAGTAAGTTGCTCTGTCATCCAGTTTCCGTGAAAGTGTGAAACCCCCAGTTCCCATTTTGTCAGTTTCTTTGGGAACAGAGGCAGATAACTCATTCCATGTCCCAATAAAATTCTAGTGTAGTTACCACTTTTTGATAGATAGGTATGCCATTTGTTGGATGTTCAAAACATTAACATTACAGGGGCAAGGGAAATGCTTAGGTGGTTAGTGGCTTGCAGAGTTAAGCACCAGCTTCAACATATTCCCAGGCAAAGTGCCTTCTTGTAGGCCTCAAGCATAACCCACCTTCCCTGTTCAAGCTTATTAAAGAAGAGAAAGGGAAAGGCAGTGATTGGAAGCAAACTGGTTTGGCAGCAACAAGAAACACAGCTGTCTGGGTCTCCCTCGGGCTTGTTCCATAAAGGGAAATGCTGGGCAAAGCAGCAGGTGAGTCAGGGACAGGGCCTCGAGGCATTGGATGTAAGGTTCTGTCTTGCCCAGCACTACTCTTTAGAGAACTTAATTATTCCAATTTGAGGAAGACAATTAAGTCCAGTGTCAGATTTCATGGAGCTGGACATGGCATTTCCTTCATCATCTAGGGTACAGAAACTAGATTGACTACTCAACCATTTCTCTTCACACATGAATTCAAGCAGCTGTGGTTTGTTTTAACTCTGGTTAATGAAAATCTAGAACGGTGGTTCTCAACCTGTGAGTCCTCAGATGTTTTGGCCTTCAACTCCCAGAAATCCTAACATCTGGTAAACTGTCTGGGATTTCTGGGAGTTGTAGGCCAAAACACCTGGGGACCCACAGGTTGAGAACCACTGGTCTAGAATCTAATATTTGTTTATGAACAAGCTAACATGGTTTCATAACAAATTACAGAAGTAATCGTGGAGCAGTGAGAGCAAGCCAGCATGGTTTGACTAGAGATCAGGGTTTGTTTTCTCATTCGACCATAGAAACCCGCTGGATGACCTTGGGCTAGTCACACATTCTCAGCCCCAGAAAGCCTGGTGATAGGGTTGCCTTATAGTTGTTGTAAGTTGGGAACAATTTGAAGGCACACAACACAACAAGAGTACTGTAAGTGCCAGCTATGATCTGCAAGGCTCTATACGTCCAGGTTATCCGAAAGACTGTTCTCCCATTTTTTTAAAAAAAAAATAAATTTAAAATTGTAATGCAGCCATGATACATATTACAAACATATACACATATATAGACAACCCGCCACCCACATACAATTACCCCTCAGCGCGCCCCCTGTGCAACCCACCACCTTGGCTCCCGACCCTGATCTACGCAGAGTTTATGCATAGTTTTATTGTACCCTCTGTTCTTCTAGATCAATAAGTTCCTCTTTTTTATTTCTTAAATTCTCCCATCAGATATGGTAAGGCCAACTTCCAATTTCTTTCAAAAACTTCATGACTTTCACATTTCAGACTGTTCTCCCATATGAGCTTGTCCATGTCTTCAGATTTTCAAGGAAGGCCTTTCTCTCTATCATATTACCTTCATGTATACTTCTGGTGAGAACACAGGAAAGCACTTTCTCAGTAACTCTTCCCAGGCTCTGAAACTCCCTCTCTAGAACAGATTAGACTGGCACCCTCCAGGGTGTCCTTCCGGGATCAAAGAAAAATGTCTTTGTTTCTACAGACCTTAGGGATTTGGTGGCTCAAGTGGAAATGTCTGTATTGGCTATGTTTGTTTTTTTAAAATACAACAACAAGGGGTGGGGGGCACAGATATTGTGGGATTTTGTCTTAGCAGCTGTAGTTAGCATAGCCAGTGGTGAAAGAGCCTGGGAGCTGTACTCCAACAACATCATTGAGGCACAGCTGGCTCTATCTGACACAAAGGCTTGCATATAATCCTGTAGGGAGTACATGAATGGATATGTCCACTAAGTGCAAAACCTTTCTGCCAGGTGGTCCTGGCTTTTTTTAATAGCCAGGTCACTTGCAAAGCATTTGTGCCACATGGCAGATGCAGTTCTAGCCTCCAGGCAGCTGTCTTTGAGCACAGACTGACCTTGAGAATACTGCCCTTGACCTCCTTCTGATCTTTGTTTATCCATCTATTTATCTCCACGCAGTCGCTTTGAAATCTATAGTCTAAGGCCTATAATTGTTTTTAACTGTGGTTATTGTACGATTTGCAGTACCGCTGCAAATAAAACCACAAACTGTACTATACTATACTCTTTTCTTTAACCAGCCTATGTTAGACCTTTGTCTCTTAGACATCAATGGACTAAATTGCAGTGGAGCTTGGGAGAAATATAGCTTCTAATGCTTCCCTGCCTGCAGGTAATTCTTACTTCCCACAGTCAACTAAATGAGTGGATATTTTCAAGTCTGGCTTACAGACATTAATTATTCAGTCTCTGTGTAATGGTGTGTCCCCATGTTGCAAGCTGTGGAATTAGCTTGGAGCAAGAGCAGACAAAATGCAGCTCTTCAAATATTGGACTATTACCGTACTTTCTAAGCCCTACTAAGCATAGCCAATCTGTGCTGGCTTTTTGAGGTGCCACGCTTTACCCATTTGTGATGTGTTGCATTGGGATGCTTAATCCAGGTCACTGCTTCTCAGCCTCTTGTCCTCCAGATGTTTTTGACTTTAGCATCCAGAACTCTCTGTCTAAAGGATAAAGATTCTGGGAATTGAAATCGAAAACAAAACAGATCAAAAGTTGAGAACCATTGGTGTAGATTGGCCATTATTCCCCAAAAGGTAGCTGTCTTTTCAATGTGCTGAAAAACAACTTCTGCTCTCTGCAGCTAGTCAGCTATACTGGCTTGAGTTGTAGCCACAGCATATCTTCTCCAACCAAGTTGGAGACGACTGCACTAAGTTTCCTCCATCTCTTTTATCTCTAACTTGATTACTCATATTTATTCTCTGTTCCGATACCCTAATGAAGATTATCTTTAGAGTCTCTACAATTTATTATTTATTTATTCGCTTTATTTCTATACCGCATTTTTCAGCCTAAATCGGCGACTTAGTTCTCTTTAGTTGGCAGCTGGAGACTTTTTTGAATGATGGTCCTCCAGTTAATTTCAGAAGGAGAGTAGTTTTGTTTGTTTGCTGCTGATGTTATTACTTAAGTTGCCAGTGGCTGCTGCTCTCTTTATCAGTTTATCCCTAGGCTGATAAGAAATGTCATTCCCATGCTTTGTTTAGCAGCACAAAGGCCATACTACCTCTGCAAAAGTCACTAGTTCATATTCCAGCAATACTAAACTAGTATTGGAAGTGCTGAGGCAAGCATTCAAAGAGGTCTTCATCTCCACATGTCTCCCAATGTTGGGAACAATAGCTCCAATTGGTTTTCTATCCTGGTGGGAAATCCTCTGGATTTATCCTTTGTGTTTTTTAGGCTCTTTCCCAGTAATGAAGAAGGAATTTCACCAGATGTTGTTGGTCATGTAGCCAGGCAACAAGCAACCTGTGATAAACTCCCCACATCTACACAACATCTGTTTTTTTCCCTCTTAGCCCATAATGCTGGACTAGAGAAACGTTTGATGTGATCCAGCAAGGGCTCATCTCGTATTCTCAGATGGCTGTCTTATACTGACTCAGCTCATCATAAGATCTTATAACCCATGTATTTTATCAACCAACTTTGTAAGTCCTTAGCAGAGAGATCTTAATGGATATCTGATCTTCTCTAAATGGAAATACTGGGGATTGGGGCTGGGTCTGCATGCATGCAAAATACGTGCTTTCCTGTTGAGCTCATGCTCCCTTCAGAGCAAGTGAGGTTGCTTTGAGGCTTGCCTTGTGTTGGAAGCTTTTCAGTCACTTGTGTCTCAAAACCCAAAGTTGAGCTGGAAGGAAGTGAAAGACCACAGCACTATGATTCACTCCAAACTGGTTTAGGCGTAGGTTTTTGTTTTTTCAGAGCACGGTTTGCCTCCTTGCCCAAGGTAAGCAGCAGAGTGTGCTGGGCCTAAACCACGAGACCTTGTGGAATCAAGCCATGCATGTTGGGTTGCTCCAATGAGCCTGCCAGCACTACATTCCCTGGAGCTTAGAAGGAGCCAGGAGAATACAGTTGGGCTTCCTTCCTGCGCTGATGAGATCTCATTTGGCTGTGGGCAAGTGCATGTGAATGTGTGGCAGGGGTCTTCTTGAGGTCTTAGTGTGGTAAGAAGAAGAAGTGTGGAATGCATGATTGGACCCAAAGGGAAAGTGAATTTTATTCCTAAAAACCAAATAGAACAATCCTTGCTGATGACCGCATGAGTTTTATTTAAACAAAGTCTATGTGAGTTAGTAAGGCAATAGGAAAATCAGGCACATGCAGGGCCTGCCCTACCCTTAGGTGCAGCTCAGGCAACAGCCTTAGGCAACAGGTTTTTGGAAGTCACGAAAGAGCAGCAAATGATCAGTTGTTTAATTTTCTTGTTGTTTTTTTCAGTGTCTGGAATAAGGAAAGGAGCATATGCAGTTTTCCAGCCTCTTGTGTTTGGCTTTGAGTAATCTACAACTTCTGGTGGACACATTGGGAGAGGGAGGACTTTATCACATGAGGCTGGAAAAGTGGGATTTCAGTAGGAAATAGTGTCTTTGCCCGGTATTTGTCACACAATGTCTTTTTCATTAATGAGTAAAAGTTATCCATGGTTAACAGTTTTGCTGTCTCCCATGACTGGCTTCTGTGTGATTTTTGTGTGATAGATCCCTTTCACTACAGTTCCAATATACCAGCAGTCATGTTGCATCAGTGAGATTTGACTCCCCTTTTCCCTCTCCTCTCACTATTCCCAAGCAGGCTGTTTTCATCTGTATGTCTGTCTCTTTTCTTATTTTTAAACCCTATTGCCATAATTGCAAAGTGAACTTGTGAAATCTTCAGCTCAGTGGGGTTTTGAATAGGATTACGGTACATGTAGCATAGAGGTCATTTCTTTATTCGTCTTCAGTTAATTCATATTGATGTTTCCATTTAGTTTAATGGGGAGCCGCAATGGAGGGCCTCCTTATGCCTGGCA